TTATATTCTGGGTGTACCCAGACAGAAAAATTGTTTCCGAGTTTCTCAAAAAAAAAATTTAAAAAAAAGAAAAAAAAAAACATGCTTCAAGAGACCAGAAAATAATAAAATAAAAGGCTGTGTATATATAAATATGGGTGTGTATGTGTATGCAGGCTGCTGCAGCAATTTCATGCGTGCTTCTGATTTTTATTTGAAAGAGGAAGTAGGTTGTTTTAGGAAGGTAGATGGGGACCAGTTATGGTCCAAACCTAATACACAACAGCTCACAAATACTCAAACATAATCTGAGCTTTTGCTTTTTACACCATATTATTAAAGCAAAAGAAAACCCTCATCTGTTGCTTTCAAAATTGAACATCATTCTTCACATTCAGATTCAGTTTTGAAACTCCTTACAGCCTCATCACAAAGTAGAGATCTCACCAGCTATACATCCACAAGTATGTACACCATTAGGATCATTTAGGTTGGTCTTGGATCTTAAACAAAAAGCAAGCAAACAAACAAAATATAGTATTCCACCTATGTGGCTTCAATTATAATCTCAAGAGTGTAATCACTAATCAGGGTCCACCTTATCCAAAGAACTAAAGAATTCCTAACTGAACAAAGAGAAATATTATAAACATCAACAACTTCCACCAGGTGAAATAGTAGTGATAAATACCCAAGAAATGAAAATTCTATAGTTTAAAGCTTCAGTTTAAGAAAATACTGACATTACTGTTTCAGTGGTAGTTATTTCTTATAAATATAAACATCAACATCATTCACCAACAAATTAAATGAGGACAAATGGTATAAAATTCAAAAATTGACTGCTTCATTTCAGCTTGAACAAAAAAGGGGACTGCTTTGTATACAAAATGGAAATAAGCTGTATTACAAACTAATGCAGGGCATGAAATATCCAGAAAAGTTTTCAAATTATATTCATCTGTGTGCAAATACTCCTACATACGGCTGAGGAATAGAAGATTTGAGAACCCATAATTATGTACAAACATCACTTTAAGGATGCTATTTTGATTTAGTTGCATGAGCAAGACAACGATACTCATGATCTCACTGTAGAAGAAATTAGCATACAACCAGATAACACTTGGGAAATACATGCCTCCCATTTTTTATGGCGTTGAGCATAACAATATCGTCATGATCTCATCACAAACTATTATCTTTACCCATATCAATGTGGTAGCTCCTGATGTTGATTGATTGCAGGTCCTGGTGCTATAGAAAACTGCACGCCCTGATGTTGTCCTGCGCGGAGCATAAATGCAACTTCAGCAGCCGTAAGGGCTGCCTCTTCCTGATCAATACAAATAAGCCAACTAAATATATTTAAAAACATGGCCAACCATTGAAATCTTATTTCATCAACTAAAATCCTTAAACAACATTAGTATTTAACGTGCAACACGAAAATGTTCATGAAAAGCTATATGCTAAAAATCAATGACGGTGAAAAACTATATTTTTATGAAATAAATGAAAATTTTTAAAAAATAGTAGGTTCGGGTCTGTATGCGCATGAAAACATCAACTTTTCTCGGGCAAAGATAGCATCTCTTAATTTTGCAAATTTTGCCAATCAATGAGATCAATGTTACTACTAGTTTCCCAAAAATATAAAAATGTAACAAATAAGCACTAGTAACTAACCATAACATTCTAGTATGAAATGAAAAACACTCAGAGAAAAGAAAAAGAATCTCAAGATACCTTCATTTGGGAATATTTAACTGTCAAGTTATTATTTCTCAAAGTAAAGATGCAAAACCCAAGGGCTACCTGTCTTTGCCTACGACGTTGCAATATACTGATGGCCCAGGCCATGATGTAACAAGGGAGGAGAAAACCAGCTGCCCGGAGTAAGAAAAGCTGTTGAAGATGTAAAACATTTCATTAGACAACAGTGAAACCATTTTAAATCATGGATTTAAGAATTGCGTCAGACATACAGAAAAAAATGTAGAAGCATCATCTTCTCCATCTGGATTGGTGAGTGAAAGAGCATGCCTCAATAGTAAAAGGGCCATTAACTGCAAATTGACAAAGAGAACAAGATTGCACCACAAAATTACAACTGAAATACATTCCAAAGTAGGAATAAAAAAATGAAAACACAAACAAATCAAAAACAAAAAAAAACAGAAGTCTATATCTAACTAAGTTACACAAACAATTTGCACTATGTGAAGCTTTGTGCATTGTGCTCCAACCATGCAATCTGTATTTGGGTCCAGAGATAGATGATGGTCAACCAACCAACATCAGCTTTAAAACTGAATAGCCCAAGGGCAGCCTCATAAAACCAAGAAGTGGTAATGAAAAAGTCATTCAGCTCAATAATAACTATATAGCACAACATACTACGTGTGTCCATGCATCTCAAACACTTGAATCTTTATTTTCATAGAGATCATGTCTTACAATTAGAGCAGCAGAGCGGCAGAAGGCAGCTCCACTGGAATTGGTATCAGCATAGTCTTCATATTCTGCCTCCAAGAGATGACGTTCTGCAGCTGCCATTGCCAGGAGACGAGGATCATGCAGATCCAATGGAGCACCAGATACTGTCCAACCTTCGCTGCATATACATATTGGAAAACAAGAGAATCAAAGACCAAAACTAATGAAAATTAACAGCAACTTCTCAATCCTAATGAAGTTTCCATATTAACTTTGTTTTTTACCCACAGAGAAAAAAAATGTCAGAGATAAAAGCTGCTTGATAGACCCGTAAAAATTATTAAAATATACATTGGATTAAATGACTAACACACATTAGGAAGTTGGCTTAAGTGGGAAGCACATCTCAAAGTGCCTGTGTTTGTGCATTTGTGTTTACTAAGTGAACCCCCAGTCAAACTTCAATCAGAATCAGACCAATCCCTCAATAGATTATGCCAGGCCTAGCACAGAGGTCTTAAAAACTTGCCTGATATCAATTGTAGTGTCATCTGATTCAGGGGCAGGTGGAGGGGCAGTGTAACCAGGTTGGTACGGCTGTTAACAAGGAAGTTTGTTTCATAATGTCAGTATGTTGATTACATCACACAACTTGCAGCCCAAGATGTTAAAATTGCCAACAATAACTTGTCAAATAAATCTTTCAGCAAAGGCAAGCAAATATGATAGTATATTTTATATTAGTTCAATTCCCCACTAAATTTCTTCCTCTAATTTTCATATTAATCTAGGCATGTAGAATTTGAATATGACTTTTATGTTTAATATCATCATAACACCATCTTGAATTTCTGAATATAGGAACTAAATTCCTCTTTGAGAATTAAGAATAGAAATACCACCTTAAAAAGTTCAAGATGGAGTTAGGGGTGGGAGTGACATTAAACATAAAAATCATATTCTCATTCTACATTCTAAGAATACATGAAAATTGGGGATAGAGATTAAGTGGAAAGTAATTAAGAATAGAATTAAGTGACATCAAATAAACAAATTATAATATAATTCTACATGCTAACACTAACATGAAAATGAGAATAGAATTAAGTGTAATGTAACTAAAACTAATCCAAATTAGCCATAATGCTATTAATTGACAGAAAGCATCAAGTCATAAGATTTATCACTAGCAAATTTCTTATTTGTTGCAATCAGTATCATGCATATGCACCAATAACTTGGGTATCATGAAGCTTTAAATAAAACTATTACAAGAAGTCCATTTGAGAATTCAGATTTTCGAGTTCATAAATATGAATACTCATCTAACATGTTTAACTTTTTAATTTTCAACATATATCCGTAGATATATCAATGCAGGCTACAGGCATGATTTCCACAATTAGTTCATGTCCCAAGATGAATCTTGATACAAAATCTTGAATGCAATAATGTGTACAGAAGATAAAAAGTAAACTGATCGAGAAATGGATAACTTCATTCCCTACTGGAATACTGAGGTAGTTGTGGCAAGCCCCAAGAGCTTCCAGAAATTCATAGCAATCGGTAAAAAAAAATTCCAGATCACTTAAGTGATTGCAGCAATAAGTGAGAAACACAAGAAAAATCTATGTTCTTTCAAAATCTTAATTAAATTCAAAAATATGGAAACCTTTTCAAGACATAAAACACTTAATATTGAAACAAAGAAAGCCAAACACTAAAACAAGAAATGGCAAGATAGAGTTGCTTCTGACAATGTAGTGCTACATAACGATACATCTACCGTTTCAAATACTGCCAAATAACTTCACAAATTTCAAATCCAAATTTAGCATGTAATTCAGTTCAGCAGAAACTATTGTTCACAACTACAGCATGATTTAGCAAAAATAAATTAAAAACCTCACAACCTGAAATTAAACTACCTTCTTAAATCCATTAAAAGATACAATTTCTTATTAATATGAAACTCACGTACACATGCAGTAACTTGTAGGCTAAGATAGTAAAAGTTCTCAGTTCCAGAAAGTTGGCTTACCTGATGACATATTTCACAAGTTATGTCCCCCTTCTCATCACACCATCGTTGAACACATTTCCTATGGGCAAACTAGATAATTAAACTTATTAGCCACGTGAATTGCATCACATAATCATTGAAACATTGAAATACATGATGCAAAGAAGAATTCATCTCTATTGTACAGAAAAAGAGATTGATGCCCCAAGACTTTAGCCAATAATTGTACCTTTCTTTTTCTACGAGAAAAGAAGGAGGTAATATTAAAAAGGAACCAAAGTGGAGGAAGCCATGTTGCCTATTTGGCCAAAAAATATTAACAGAACCTACTGTATTTAGATTGAAGCACTCCCCACAACAATATATCTTTTACAAAAACAATGAAGTCCTTCGATTAAAAAGTTCTAACAATTGAAAATAAATACCCAAAAATAAACTATCAAAAAATTCTCCTGCATAATTGTGCATTTCAATTAAGAAAGCAAAGATGACACAGTGAATAAATTACCTTCAAGCTGCCACTACAAGCACAAGGAACCTCCAAATTTTTAATACTGTCCTCCTCCTGGCAAATGCGACATTCCACCATTTGAATGAGTGGTTCTTCTTCTTCTTCAGCAACGCTGTGTTCAACCACTTTCTTAACTTCAATCACACAAGTGGATGGCTCAGATGTGTTTGAGCAAGAACCCTCCCCAGAAGATTCTTGGACCTTAGCCGGCTTTAGCGATTGCAAACTTTCTGGTGTTATTAGACGGTCCACACACAATAGCAGATGATCACCCATTCCTATTTGGAGGAAATACCGTAATTCACCAAAGTGAAGAAAAACTATATTAAATTTCAGAATAACATGGAAGTATATTTTCATGAGATGCAAGGTCTAAAGGATAAAATTTAAAACATGATATTGTAATTAATTGTCGGGATACAATAATAACATAATTCTCCAGTTAGCTGTCAGAAATCTGAAGCTAAATCATAATTAATTATAAACATGATATGATAATAACATAATTAATTAATAACAGAATAATTTCCATAATTCCATTGCTGGGGACAGTTTAGAGGGTAAACATAAACCTAAAGTGAAATCAAAGTCCCCTTTTATGTCCTTTTCCTTGGCTTTGCCAGCAAGCAATCAAAGTGCACACAGAATTAATAAAACACACGCACTTTCAGAACAACAAAAATCCTATTTCATTCTCATTACCAGAAACCTATGCAGCAACCTTCATATCACTAAAGGCATTGTAGTACGATTACAGAGACCTTGAGCTCGTCAGGGTCCCAGTAAATCAACAAAGCAGCAGTCAAGAAAACCATTACAGGCATTTCTTCAAGTTAAGTATTGATATCATCTAAGAAGCAAAGGAACAACACGGGATAAGAGAAAAGGAGCATAAAAAAATCCCCCTTTCATTCACTTCCCTTTTGCCAACAACCAAACAACCCAACCCCAAATTCCAAGATTCCCCCCTCCCCACCAAAACAAAACCTAATGCGTAACATCAAAAACTATAAGTGAGTCTCAAATTTAATTTAATAGCCAGAAAAGAAACAACTCAAAAAAAAAAAAAAAAACCAAGATCACGATGAGAGTTAACAAATTAAGCAACAGTAAATAGCAACACACTATCAACACGATGAAATCAAAGAAATAGCGAGGAAAGCATAAACAGAGGAGTACCAGCAAATGCCCTCAAAAAATTTGAACCTTCGAGACTACGAATTGCAGACTGTATGAAAAAGTCTAAGCTCCTGTTTCCTTGCTTTGAAATGAAAAAACCCGACGACGATTTTTGTTTATATATTGTTCAGACACAGAGACGAAGGGTTGATTTTTCGGGTCCGGTTTAAACCGAAGCGCGTTTGGGTTAGGTAACCGCCGTCGAAAGAAAACGTTAATGTTAGTCACCGTTAGCATTTTGTTACAAACGGACGTCATCTTAGATTACGAGGATACTTGAAATAAAATATATTTTAAAAAGCACAGAGATTTTTTTTTTTTTTTTTTTTTTATAAAATTTATTCTCATTATGAACTATTAAACATAGTTTTAAGAAACTAATTACCAATTAGTAATTAATTTATTCAGATCTCATGTGATCTGAATATCCTTAATTGAGATTTACTAATATCTTTGTAAAATACTGAAAATTTAACATAATTATGTATATAAAATAATAATGGGTTTTGAAAATTTGTTATTCATTTAGTAAATAATCAAAAAAATTAAAATATATACATATTAAACATTATAATAGGTAATATATTCGTAGATCCATTCCGTTTATTATAAATTAGGTAAGACCAATTCCATTTGCTGACTTTGACATTTTGCAATTTTTAAAATCAAGTTGGTAGCAAATTGGAATATGATTTTAGAGACAAAATATGATTACTAAATTATGAGGTTAACAATTTATCTTACCAAGAAAAATATTTTAATCAATTATGATCCTCCATCTTGATTTTATTATACTCCAATACCCAAAATATAATAAATAAATTTAATTATAAATAATAATAAAATCTTATTATTTTAATTATTAATATTAATTATGAATTTTTTAATTGTTATTATTGTTGCGATTTATATTTTAATTTTTGAAAAAAAAAAAGGGCAAAAGCAAAAATGAAGAAAAATTCATTATCCTTACCTTATATTTTAGTTGTTATTATGGTGCAAAAAACAAAAAGAAGAAAAAATTTTTTAAAAAAAAAGCAAAAAAAAAAAAAATCTATTAGAAAAAGGGGAAGAAAAGAGAAGAAAAAAGGGGAAAATAAAAAAAATAAAAAAAATAAAAAAAAAACAAAAAATAGAAAAACAAAAGAAACAAAAAAAAACCAGGGGGCTGGCCCGGACCGGCCCATTATGGACCGGATGAAGAAACAAAAACAAAAAAAACCAAGGAGGCTGGCCCGGAGCGGCCCATTCTGGACCGGATGAAGAAACCCAAAGCCCAGTCTAAATCCTAATTTTCTTTTCTTCTCGGCCCATTTAGTTCCCTCCTTCCCTTTTGATAGGCTATTCTATGTGCTTTCTAATTTATAATAAAAAATAGGGAGAAAATTTTGGAAAGTCCAAAATATAGTTTAAATATTTGATTTATTTAAACAAAACATGATTGGGATATCAATTATTCCTAATCCAACGAGGTGAACCGATGAAAATTTGAGACAGTTGTAATTTTAATTGTTATTTAAGAAAATATAGAACGATTAAGATGGGTATGAAAACTTATTAAAAAACTACGAAAAATGCATCATATGATGAATATGCATCATATTCAAAACTTTGAAAATTTTTGAGATATCTTCAAAACTTTATTGAAGAAATTTTGAGTCAAGGAAATACGCATCATATGGAACAATATGATTCATGTGAAAAGATGTTGACGTTTCTAAACTTTGTATTCTTTCTTTTAAGAATTTTGTTTGAGCCGGTGAATAACGAACTTTGATTCCCTTTTAAGGTTCTTGATGGAGTTTTTTTTGTTAACTTTTCTTGTACTTGATTATAATTATTGAAACTGAGAAAGTTGAAGAAAATGGGTAAGTAATTATTTTAAATATTCTTAATAATTATCTGTTTTATGATGCGTAGTGATAATAATTATGATGTTATGTATTTTAATATTTGGTACTCGATAATTATGAATTTAAAAAAATAATCTATTTATAGATGATGCATGTGTTAGGGAAAGAATATAACATTTGAGTTAATTGATTAATCTCTCTTGATATAAATAATCGTTGATGAATAATACATGAGCTAATCTGTCATATATTTCTTGAATGATGATGGTTAGTCTTTACAAAAATTTAAAATATTTTGATCATTATAAAGTATATGAAATATATATATTTAGAATGTACTTACTAAATATCTTCAAAAATTAATAGTATTTTGATGTGATGAGTTTTTTTTAAAAGATTAATGATATTTCAATTTGATGAACTTGAATGTTTGATGGATATAGTTTGTGCGTCTAAGGTTTCAAATTCAATGTATATTTTAGTAAAAATATTTATTTTTTTTAAAATAATTCTTGTTGGGTTATGTAAGATGGTACGAGTAGAACCAATTCATCTTATATCTTATTATATATATATATATATATATATATATATAAAATAATGACCGAGTGACTTAAATTCATGTAATAAAATATATTAAATTTGATGGATATAGTTCTCATCCTCCCTAAACTTGGTGGATGCTTGCATAACGGTTCAATCTTTTTAGTCCATTAAAACTAAGCTCAAAACACTTAGAGCAGTAAAAAGAATTGATAGTTGTAAAATGAATAAGCAAGTGATAACATAATTACATTCCACCAATGTAATAAGGATAATAAATTTTCTTATATTCGTAGTTACTTCATAAAATGAACTCTTATAAATAATTGATATAACCAAGTAAAAAAAAATTAAGATTCTTTTTCAAAAATACAAAATA